AGTTAAGTTTTCCCAATAATGGTACATCAAGGTTGGTGATCCTGACTTGAGATGTTAAAAAGCCAAGTAATACGGCAGGGACAAGTAGCTGTCAGAAGCTTTTACTTGCAAGTATGCATATTTGATCCTGGCACTAAACAGTCTTAACTCACCTCTAATTTGGGTTCTGCAGCACAAATGTAACATTCCCCACTAATACCTTTTATGTGACTCAGGATAAAAATCTGAAAAAGGAACAGGTGCCCAACTATCCCTAACAGAGAACAGGTATTTCTTCTACACTATTTTTTAAAGACATCACATACTATATTTTTTTTCAGTCACACTGTTTCTAGATGTATCCTGGATGACAGGACTTAAGCTGACAAGTAGCTGAGGAAGGAAAGGTCAGCTCTGACCTACTTAGGTCAGAAATGACCAGAAAGTGCTGAGAGGTGCAGGTCCGAGTGGAAAACTATTGCTGCAGAAGTTCTGCCCCTTGTGCAATTGGTGTAGGATAGGAAAAACAAAAAATGAGGAAAAGGGCATTTATCAAACTTCCCAATATATATTTGTAATGGGTTAGCATCACCTACAAATTTCAGACCAACCACAATGAAGTTTACCAAGGCTGTTTGAACTGTTCCTTGTCTTTCTCTCCCATGAGGCCTCAGGGCTTTCTTGGAAAAACAAACAATTAAAAGATGCAGTAAATGTCTTTTTTCCCTCAAATGCTTCCCTGCTTTGCTTTGTTTTCTCTAACTTTTAAACAGAGATCCGATTCGTGGCTGCTATTGCCTGCATCTAACTCGTTTGTACTACAGAAGTGAAAACAGGCAGAAAACTCTCCATGTTTAGGATAATTCTGGCATTAATAAAAACCAAGGTAGAATTTAAACTAGACACTGGCTGAAGAGCTTTCACCACTTGCTGTCTTCCTTTCCAAGAGGCCCATGTTCTGAAAATTCCTCTGATTCTGCTGGGTATAAGAGAATGTAGTCTGCTGTGATGTCTCTTACTGAGAGAAATCAAATGTATCAAAGAGCTCAAAACCTCTACTAAGGATGAACTCTTACATTTCTTTAAAGCAGAATGAAAAACCACAAAGAATTTGCAACCAAAAAAAGAAGAAAAAGGGAACCCCCTCCAAGAGTGTTCTCAGGAAGCCAAAACATTTTGAAAAGCATTACACTGTAGACACCTGAATGTGTAGCTAAACTGAGCTTGAGTTTTCGAAGGAAATGAAAAGCTACAGTAGAAGACTATTAGCTAAAGAAATAGAAATACAGGGAATGGGTTGCGGATGCAGTGAAGATCTAGTTGAAATGAAAGTATCTAGGTAAGACAGAAAAGCAAAATGAATGCTTTGCCTCAGTTTTCAGGGGGGTGGAGATCATGCACAAACGGTGAAGAGAACGGCTGTGCAAAACAAACTCAGAAAATCTGACACCATAAACTCTCGAGGGAACCTACAGCCCCCAGGGCAGAATTCTGAAAGAAACAGCAGTTGGAATACACATTCAGTAGATAAGATTTTTAAGAAATGTATCAAAATGATGCACTGTATCAGATAAGAACTGCAGTCTCAACATACATTTTCCATCTCTCCTAAAAATATGAAACATGGGTTCCTCATTCACTGCTTCCATGAACATAAGTATAGTGAAAGCATTTTGCAGAGAGTATACAAACCTTTTGCCCTCTTCTTTGTCTCTGAAAAACTTACAGCTGTTCACTTCTTTATCCTCCAATAAAAACAAAGAATTTGGTGAAACTTTTGACTCTGTGAATTCTTTTCCACTGTTCTTGGTATACTTCTGTTAGGATGACTTTATTACTGCTTCAGCTATGAGTAGTTGTTATTCATTTGAAGTCACTACTTTCCACTGTGTTTAATATCCTAATGGGATATTACTAGCTGTTACTACAATCCAGCTGTCTCATATTCTTCAACTAAAAACAACTTCATACAGAAGCTCTTTTTTTTCTTTAAGACATTCTAGGATTAAACTTTAATTATGCAGCATTAAGTACGTATTGCCTCAAAAACTGTCAACCTGTTTCCTTTGACTTTGCTATATATTTTACATGGCAGAATTCTTGTCCTTAATAGTACTAACTATCTTAATCTATGTCCATAACATCAATATCCTGACTAAAATGCTATCCAGACAGAGTCCAAATGTTCCTGTGCAAAATCAAGCTGACAAAGTCTCTATAATCTAACAAAAATCAGATGTCTAATGAGTCAAAAAATGACTGAGGAATGTGGATATGCCCTGGATCACCTATCCAGTGGTTTCAAAACAAAAGCTACCCTTGAATTAAGTAATCCTTGCTAGTGAAATAATAAAAAACATCTTAAGGGAAGCATCGTGCAGTTCCAGAGGCATTCCTATTACAGCTCAGCAGTACAACACACCCTCCACCATTTAGCTGCTCTCAAGTGTTACTCACATTATACCTGCAGGACCAAAATGAATGTTTTATGTACCTATGGTTAAGCTTGAACATAGCAATGCATAGCTGATAATCTGCATTAACACCAGTATTGGGCAGCATTTTACAGTTAGGAACTCTATTTTTAAAAACATTCTCTCTGCGTAATTACATGCTTGAAATGCTTCCTGAGCAACTGATCTAGAGAGTTTCTGCTTTTACTTTGATGTTGAAAAATTGCCCCCCGCCCCGTGAATGAGTGCCCTTGGTTCATTTACATTTCTCAATTGTATTTTGATCAACAATTTCTTATCCTGATTCAGCTTTGTAATCCCCTGTAATCAGCGACCCGTTGTTCTCTGGCACCACCTGCGAGCCCCCGTAAGTTGGCCACAGAACACTTCTACTTCCTCACCTTGGCTGCTGTGCCAACAGAGTATGTCTGAATAACCATCAGACTTACTAAAGCTTCTTACAAGCACTGAAAGGAAACTGGCATTGTCTGGAAGGTATCTAATTAGGAATGCAAATACATCCTCACTCAGAAAACAAATGCCAGGGTTTCCTCCACACTTTCTCTGCACTGGCAGTCAGTGCCTCTAAGGGGTGGTGGAGGAACCGGCTAACATTTCACCAAACCTCAAAAAAACCCTCTCATGACTGTGCCTGAATAATGGTATTCATTAAGCACAAAGCTGCACATGTCCCTTTTAATGATTTTTCTTTTTTTTTTAACCTCCTGAGCTTTTGTCAGGACTCGCAAAGCAGAAGCACAAGATGGTACTGACAGAAATCTTCATATCAATAGTGTCCATTTTGGTGCGCAATGAACTCATGATTTTAGGAATGCACTCTGCATTCACACAGTGCATGTGCACTGGGCACTGTGACTATCTACAGTTTCTTCAGAGCTCACTATTTAACCCTCATGCTTCAGAAAGAAGTACAGGGGATACAATATCCTTTTCCGAGTTACCCTTCACACACACATCACAAAGGACTAAGAAAATACAGTTTCCTGCAGAGTTGTGCCTGCGTCTTCATAGAAGCTGACTGAAGCTTTGTCATGCTCCTCAGTGCATTTCCCAATTTCCCAAAAATTAAAAAATCCATAAAGGAATCAGCTGACAATCAGCTGGAGGTCAAGCCCAAGAAGACTGAACATACAGAAGATTCAGATCTCACTGAGGAACAGACAGAAGCAACTCTGCAATCATAAAAAAAAAAGCAGGAGTCCCTGATTCACTAAGGGAAGGTGGGATGAGCAGTGCAGGCATTAAATGAAGTTTAACTATCTAGAAAAAAAATCAGACATCCTCTTAGCCTACGTTCACCGAAACAGGAACTAATCAGAGGATAAGCCTCACTCTGGTTTGTTTTGCCATGTAAATCCAGTTCACATAAACTTTTACCAGTATGGGCAAGATGTTGGATGTTTCAGGATCTTTCCTTAGTATATAAACAATTTCCTAATTGACAACTGCAATAAAGGTGACACATTTTAATCATTTTGCACATCGAAATTCCTAGTGAAACATTTCAACTTGCACAATATGTTAAGACTAATATTTTTCACATCAGAACCCCAACTCTCCCTCAGCCTTTTCTCACAGGAGAGGTGCTCCATCCCTCGGATCTTTTTTGTGGCCCTCCTCTGGACTCGTCCAACAGGTCCATGTCTCTCCTGTGCTGAGGACCCCAGAGCTGGATGCAGCACTGCACGTGGGCTCTCACCAAAGTGGAGTAGAGGGGCAGGCCCACCTCCCATAACCTGCTGGTCATGCCAGCCTGGAAAGTTTTCAGATTTAAAGGAAAAGAAATGAGTAATAACTTTGTTCTCAACTGAAAAGTCAAGGCAGAAGACAAACCTCCTCTGAAAAAAGTCTATTTATATTTTTATTAACGCTTAATTTCATTTAAAAACAAAATTGCCGAACCTCCATATATTACAGCTCAGGTTTTTTATCACTTGAAGTGGAATTTATGAACTGAAGATGTTTGGGAGAAATTCTGCGCCTGACAAAATTCTGTTTCAGATTTTAAAACTAAGCGGTTCTGAAGCACTTTCTCAGACTGCAGGAAAAACACCAGGGTAAGTGCAGTGATTGTAATTGTGTAAGACTGACAGAAATCAGGCTGTGAAGTCATGTGATGGGAAGCTGAAAAAACTCCAAGAAGGGATTATCAGAATCACCTGAATATACTCTCAAGTTCCTACGTTCCACAGGTTAAAGCTGGAGAACTGCAGATTTGGGTTTGTAGCTGCAAGTTGATAATTAATGAAGAGAATGAAGATTTTTATCAACCAAACATAACTAATTACTTTTAAAGAACAAAAGACATTTTTATGCAACATTCTGGTTTTGTACTCAATGCAATTCTACACTTCTAGAGTTACAATCATGTGTGTTTCAGGGTAATCCAAATTTCCCAGATCAGTTCAACCTGGATATGAGCTTAGGGGCACTGATCACATACACAGTTCTGAATTCTCCTCTCTAAATTCTCTCAGGACATCAGAATGCCCTGATGTCCTGAACTGTCTCAGAAATCAATACTAAAAGAACAAATTAAAAACTCACCCGAATCATCATGACTGAGCACCTGATGTTGTGAATCGCATCATACACCTTCTTAGAAATGTCCACAAACCGGTTATCATCAAACAGATGGACTGTGTTTTTACTTAAGCTCTCTAATGCAATATTTACTTGACTAATAAACTCTGGAATCACTGTTAAAAAAAAAAACAAAAAACAACAAAATCAAAGTTCAGTGAGCACAAAAAAGATAGAACATAAAATTTTTTTTCTTTCTGGCAAATCACATCACATTGATTAAAACCTTATTTTTAAAAAACATTATAGTAATAGCACGATTACTTTAAAGTGGGAACCCATTTGTAATTTTTATCACAGTGATAAAAGTTCCCATGGTGAGCACACAAGCTCTGGATGATTATACACTACTACAAAGAAGAAAGAAGTTTTAAAATGGGAGCTGGGGAAGCAGTTGTAAAAATGTGTTGGTAATTTCAATAGTAATTCTACCCAAAGAATCAGGATGAATAACTTGGCTTTAATTTGGAACTTCTGCCAGTTCAGAATCTGCTTTCAGTCTTAATGGAGACATAACCACCAAAAGATTGATGCTTATTCTTCAAATTAAGAAGTCCCATGATTGTAACCTGAATTTACCAAGGCAGTTTACCTTGTTTGATTGAATCACACAAACAGTTTATTTTGAGCCAGTTGGATATTAACCTGTGCTTTACCCAGAATGTCCTGGGAATTTCCTTCTGATGCTCCATGGCCTTACTCTGCATAGTGACCCCATACAACTGTATCTGCCTTGGTCCTTCCCATCAATTTGAAGCAAAGGAAACCCAACAGAGAGTGCAAAAAGAATGCAGATAGAAAATCCATCACACACAGAAGGACCTCAAACAAGCACAGATCAAACTCATTTGCAGCAACTTATTTCCTGTCAATTGAAGTCTGAAGACAGAGAAGAAATCGAAAGTAAAAGGATCAAACTGAATGTCTGTAACATTCAATATGAATAACGGAGGTACCTCGTGGTGCTAAAGCTATTTTCAGGCAATGCCTTGGTTTCAAATACAACTATAATATGTGTTCCATCCCTTACTCCACAATTACACACTGTGTAATTCACAAATTCATACCACACGAAAGCAACACTATTAATACCATAAGTGTGCAACATTTCAGGCAAATTTTGAAGTACATAATAAATTTGCATGCAGACAAAGCTTCAGCTGAAGACAAATGGATTTCTAAATTAGAAAACTGGCAACATATACTTTAAGTATTAGGAAAGATGCCCCAATCCCTAATTCTAATTCTTCAATCCCTAATTCTAATGGAGAAACCCACATAACCCTTGGAAACATTTAAATTAATTCTTAAATTACAGTAACTTCACTGTCTTTGGTCTCGGCTGTTTGTCCCTGGAGTGGAGAAAAGATACTTGACGTGCCAGTTCTCAGAAATAACAAACTTCAGTTAATTCAGTGGTAGTAGGAAGGTTCACTTTCTTCTGCAGAATAGGTCCCCACAAGTGTGAGACAAGTAGCTGCCATTTGATTTGAAAAACAGGGTCTTTAAAAATCAATGCTTCCCTCTTCAGATTATCACTTGAATTATCTTGCCTTCCGAAAAGGTCAATGGAAAGATTTCTTAAATGGTACCGAAAAAAGACATGGTACATTTTTCATTAGCAACCAAATGAAGGAATAATGAAGGAGAGCAAGTGCCTATTTATTTAGTGCTTTTGGGGGGAAAAAAATCACGGAAACAAACACACCGTTTCAGGACATTTTTTTCTGTTAAGCAAAGATCCTGACCAACAGACTATCAAAATAATTGCAAGTGTGGAGGTTTCGAACTAAACAGTCACCTCATACATCTACAAAAAGTTATTTGTATCTTCATATCTGTTGTAAAAATACACAAAGGAGAACATGAGAAGTTCCCAGGAATTCAGGATTTCCACTGGTATAGTCAGTTAGCTATTCAGGCTGCATCCTGCACTCGATCCATATTCCATATGCTTATTAATGGCCTTTTTACAGTTCCTCCTGAGGCCAAACTCATTATCACAGTGTATTTGTTTGTCTGAATAAATACATCACTTACGAAAAAGAATTAAATGCAAATATGTACCCTATAGCTCATATGCTACTGGCAGAGTCAGCACTAAAACACAGGCTGCACTTGGTTGCAGAAATATCATCTCAGTGCCTTCCCTTGATTTGAGATGGTTGCTTTTCATCAAATCACTTTTAGACAGACAATTAAAACAAGATTAAGCTGTAATTTTAAAATACATACACACCAATCTGCTAATGAAGCGTAAAAATATGCTTGGGCTAGTATAAGGTTATCCACCAGCTCTTATTTCTTGGTCATTTTCCCTGATAATTCTCCCAAATCCAGGACTCCTTGACTGTGATTTATCTAAGTTTTGAGTTCCCAACAAAATGACTCGGGGAAAAAAAAAAAAAAAAAAAAAAAAAAAAAAAAAAAAAAAGGGAAGTAAAAACACATATGTGAGTTATTATCCATGGATCACTGGCATAAAAAAACCCCTTATTTCATAAACCTCAGATGGTTCAGGCATCCCTCTGAAATACTGCATTAAGTGGACTAGAATTACATTAATAATGTGCATTTGCTGTACTCTGCTTTGTTTTTCTATGCAGACTAAATATAGTGTAGAAGTGGATATGAGTGATAACAGGTGGAAGAGATTTATTTTTTCAGTCTTTCAAAAGCAAAGAATAATTACACAAGTTGTACATAAAATGAAAAATATCAACTGCTAGACAATTAAGAAGTATTATTATATTTTTGTGATTTTAATATTAAAATATCTTGAAGAAAACATAATTTGTTTTTAAATTTTTGTGGGGAATTTTTGCCTTTTTGTTGTTGTTGTTGTTGTTATTATTGTTTTATTGGATGTTTTATTTTTTTTCTATTTTGTTTCTCCCTCAACAACAAATGAAGGGCAAATTTCAATATGAACATCTGTAATTTTGCCTCCCCTGAGGGGTGAGATGTAGAAAGGAGGACATCTTGGAAAACACCAATACTGTTCATAATCATAATGTTCAAAGTCCCCAAACTAATCTACAGATTTCACGCTACCAAAAACACACTCTGTGCTCTTCTTGAAATGGAGTTTGTTTATTTTAAAATTCATCATGTATTCCCTAATTCCTCTCTTTTCTTAAATAATACTACCCACCTTTCCTTGTAGGCCATGCCTTCTTAGTTCTCTAATATTTTTTGCTCAATTTTGTCATCTCCAATCAGAACCAACTAATGAATCCTGTCCCTCGTTTAACAGCAGTCAGGGCCCAGCCTTTAACTCACAGGCTACATCTGGATGCCACTATCACATCAGGCAACACAGAGAATTAAACTTCACTAATCGCTTTATTCCAATTAGCAACTCTGTGCCTGTTATTTTTAATAACAAACTGATCAGGGAAGCAGATTCCCAGCTTTGCAGAAGGCCACTGACAACAGGTGAGAGCAGAAGCCACTGTGCTTGCACTTTTTCATTAGGTTAACTGATTAATATCACTTCAGCAGCCACCAAGACAGCTTGATACTGAAAAAGGAAGTCTCCACAACTAAACAGTCCACGTGTGTGCAACAATCACCTAAAGAATGTTTTAATAAAAAGAACACACCTTAACAGACCTCCTAGAACTGATGAGAAAATAGTGACTTCCTTTTAATTCAAAATATTTATGGTTTTTATAGGGGGGAAAAGGGGGGAAAAAAACAACAACAAAAAACCTGTTTTATCTGTTTGACAAAGGGAAAAAAAACAAGAATCACCTTCATAAAAAATGAAACACGGATTGCATATTTTTCATCATTCTTATACTCAGTTACTGAAAATAAGGCTATTTGGTCCTATGTCACCTCTGGGGACATTTGGGTTTCGTTGGTTAAAACCAGTTGTTTGTCTGTATAATCATACTTATTGTATTATTTTATTAAATTGTTATTCTGACTTCTAATCTCTCTTTTGAGTTGGGTTCACTTCCCCTGCCGGTTTACCTTTAAACCAGCACAGGAAGGATCTCAGGATTGCTCATTGTGCCCACTCCCCACCCTGACTATTCAGAGCATAAAGATCTATAAATTATCCTTGTGGAAGTTTTTGCATAATGAAAGTGTAATACAACACAAAGTAGCCAAGGCAGAGGCCTGATGCACACACACACACACACACACACACACACACGAAAAAAAGAAGTTTCATAGTAAAAGCCAGATGTAATTAGTATCTGCTTCTCTAACTCAGACACATGCATACTGCAACTGTGTATGGGCATTTGGCAACGTGCAAGGCTGTCAGATTGGTGGCATAACCAACAAGCACACAGCTGAGCATGTACATATCTATAAAAAAAAAGCATTTAGAGAATTATCAAGCTATATATGAATGTACAGAATATTCATTTATATGGATATGTTTACATTTGTATTTCTGTGTAAGCTATGCCGGATACACAAGAGCACTTTTGTGGTATTGGATCTTCCCAGCTAATAGGGGTAAGGTTTTTAAGAGTTAACTGCCCTGAATACGAGAAAAGACTGATAATGAGTGAGATCTAATTATTGGCAGTGTGTATTATTAATGAATGGCAATCCAGTAAATTGCTGCATTTAAGTTAGAGAAGGTCCTAATTTATTTCTCATTTAAACACACCCATGACAGTGATTCAACTTCCTACCTGGAAAACAGAGTTATTTTCATCTGCCCCAAGACAGTTCAGATGTACACAAAGCTGCTGTTACTCTGTAATGTACAGGGGATTGCTTGTGATTTTGGAATCCCTAGACTTTCCCAATGGGGGACTTTTCCCCTCTGGACTCTCCCCACAGTCCCTGCACAGCCTGGCAAATACCTGTAACACTGCACCTGGGAATTAAGGCAGTGCCTGCAATTAAACATCAGGGGTCAAGATGCCAGTGGTGACTTAATGGGATCTTTTTTGGGTTTGGATTTGAGGGTCCCCTGTATGAGGTATTTATCAGAGGCAGGTCACAGCATTCAAAAGAGAAGAAAGATAATTTAAATAATTTACATAATCCTCCTTTTCTGAAGTCTTCTACCTAATGCACTTTGCTGCCATGCTCAAGGACAGACTGACCACGAGATCTCAGATGAAAATGACATTTCCCCCTA